AAAAACCAGCAAAACTCTCCCAAGATGCACTTTATTTACAATCCCAAAGACTAAAGGAAAGTAAGAATCTAGTGTCATTTCATCAGTAGTTTGTGCTCACAGACAAGTGCTTTCATTGATAGTCACAGACTCCACTGAACAGAGCTACCCTACTGCAGTAGTGATCCTCCATTCCTGACTTACAGTCCTCAGCCTCTTCCCCCAGGGCAGAGGCTGAGTTAATCTCCCTGAGCCAGCTCAGGCCCGAACCCACTTCCTGAGCTAAGATGATGCCAAAAATATACAGATATGTCTAGAGATAATTTACATCTTTTTGGTTAATTTAACACAGCTCAAGGCTAAACTGACAGCATGATCCTCCCACAGGCTAGGGGAGAATTGGGGCTCAACTCAACACTTCTGAGAAAAACCCCACCCCCTAAGGCAGTTGTAGTTGTTAACTGGTTGGTCCCTTAGGCACATCCACCCTCTGTCTCTTCCAGTGCTAGGGCAACAAGACAAAAATGGTGTGTCCCCAGCCCTGCCGAACAATTTCAGAACCAGCCTCCCCTCCGCAGAGGGAGGCTCCCACAGCACAAGAGACAGGGCGAGCGCAGGTCAGCAAGAGGTTCTGCTGCCATTGCTCAGCCTCTAAGCTTTTTCCTACCATAAGCTGAGGAGAAACACTGGGTCTCATTCGGAGCTACCCTACCCCCATGGACCCTGCAGTTATCAAGTGCAGCCAAAGGAAGCTGCCGCTGCCTTCACATTCTGGGCTATGGTGGCACTTGGAAATGTTGTACAGACATGAAGATCCACTCACTACTTGGTGAGAGGGGGCATGAGGCAGACAAGAGCCCTCTCCCCGAGGAGGAGCAGGGTGGGCCACACGGGAAGCTAGAGATCTGGCCAGTGGAATTCAACACAGCTCCTCCACCCGAGAGCAGTGCTTACAGCTGGGGGCAAGGAAACACATGGGGCTGAGAGCTGGGCAGCTGGTGCAGGGTGTACTGCAGACAGGGGGAAGGATTTCTGCCTGGGAGACCACACACACCCCTCAATTACCTCCAGTGCCGTGCCTGGCCACCCTGTGACAAACAAGTGGGTATGGCTGTCACTTCAGCTGGACTGAGAGCAGCTGGGATGGGGGGAAGGAAGGAAGGAAGGAAGGAGAGTGTGTGCTGAATGTGGCAGTCTAGAAGTTCCACAGTGGGAGTGGGTGAGGTCAGCCATCTATGTCCCAGCTGAAGAGATGGTGCTTCACCAGCATGTCCTGCACTCCTTCCTTCAGTGGCTTCTTCTCCTTCTCCTGCAGGACAGAAAAGGCCAAAAATTACTAAGCAGCCACATGCAGGTACTACTGGCCTCTAGCACTGCAGGTCGGGGAGATGGGTGGTGACTTTTGGAGGGAGCTGCTGCCCTCACCCAACCTCTTGCACCTACCAAGCCCAGTGTCTCAAACCTGCAGTGTGACTGGGGTATAGTGGGAACAGGTAACTGGCACTCTTATAGCACCTGCTTCCGACCCTTTGCTGCTGGTGCAGCTGCATGAGTGGAAACCTTGTTCTCCAGCAGTCACTTGCTCAATCTTCTGGCCAAGAGAGAAGGAAGCAGGCACAGAAGCCACCCCTTGGGGGTATGAATAAACAAGGTTCTCTCAAAGGTGCACAGCAGCACAGCCCCCCCCAGCTGCTTAAACAGCCTTGCCCAGTCAGGGTCTCGGAGCTACGTGACTGGGCGGGGCTGATTAAGCAGCTGTGGGGCTGTGCTTCTGAGCAGCTTAGAGGGATCCCTGGTGGAAAGAGCCTGCAGTTTGCTCCACCCTGACTATCCCCACCAGGAGGGCAGGAGCTGAGCCTATTTTCAAACACCCAGGATGCTGCTGGTGATTGGTGGGTTTCTAATCGGAGGCACTGCTGGCCCTTGTGCAGCTGCAGGGCCTTGCCCTGGCTCTGCCGCCAAGTCGGGAGGTGGCAGCTGCTCCGCTGTGAAGAAACCATTCCTTGGCGCTCAGCGCAGGGAGATGACCAGGCAACAAAGTTCAGTGTCAATTCTGGCCGAGCCCCCTTGGAATGAAGTGCTGCCTGCAGCATGGGGGCTGGTTAACATGCCAGGAAACAGGGAGGGCAGGCTGCTTTGGGGAGGAAGGGGGCCCAAGCCCACTCTCAGCCTCGGCACTCACCTCTCTCTTTATAGGAAGCTCCCAGTCCTGAGAGAGACTGAATGCAAACCTGGAGAGGACCCTGCAATACAAGGCAATGGTTACGCCCTCACAAAACCATCCTTGAGTGCAACTAAGATTTGCAGCTTTTATTGGGAAAAAAATAAAAAAGAGCGGCTAGTCCTAGGCAGTGGGAAAAAGCTTGAAACGCGACCTAACTGCAACTGATGCAGAGAAATCTGCCTGAGTCTGCAGGAAGCCCAAAATAATAAGCATCTCAATAGGAAGTTAACAACAAAAGCCGCTGCTCTGGGACCCCGCCATCACCCAACAGAGAGCTGCATGTGACCAGAGGGGGAGGGTGCAGCAGGCCCAGACCAGCCCAATACATCCTGGAGACTTCTGCAGCTGCTCTTTGGCAGAGGGAGAGAGATCTCCGCTCAGCACTGCCGTGCCAAGTGGCGAGTGAGTCCAGAGCTTGGAGTGTGGGGGGCACTTCTGGCCCTGGAAACCTGTCATTCTGCCCTGTCCTCTGCCTCATCCCATGGCCTGCACACTAGGGATGTAAGCGACTAGTCGACTATCCAATAAGCAAAACTTACCGGATATTAAACTAGTCCTTCCACACTAATCACTTCCCTGGGAACAGGAGCCAGTGCTGGGGCGGGGGAGCCAGCTTAAAAGCAGAGCTCTTAAAACACTGGTGCACAGTGGGGGAGACCCAGCGCAAGCTGGTAATCAGCTGTCCCGGCTTGTGCTGGGTCCCTCCTGCTGCTCTTTAGCCCCTTAAATGTATTAAGAGCTGACAGCACCGTCTCCACAGGGGGAAAGGGGTAGGAGGGACCAGGCGCAAGCCAGGAATCAGCTGATTCCCAGCTCACAACCAGTTCCAGGCGCTGCACCTCCACTTTTTAAATGCATTAAGAGCTTGCTGACTTTTAATACATTTAAAAATCAGAAGCATAATGGGGGGGACCTGGCGCGAGCTGGGATGGCTGATTCCCAGCTCATGCTGGGTCCCCCTGCTGCTCTTTAGGCTCTTAATACTTTTAAGAAGGCAGAGCTGCTGCAGGGTTAGCTCCTGGGCGGGAGCTAACCCTCCTGCAGCTCCCCCCATTTATCGACTAATCCATCAACCAGTCAATTAGTTGATTAAACTAAATGTAACATCCCTACCGCACACATGCCTTGAGAGAGCCAGTGGAGGCTGAGCTCACACTAGTGTCAAATGAAAGTGTGGGAGCTGATCCTCCAGCCCTTCCACAGATAGCTAATGTCTGCCTAGCGGGGGGAGGAGAAGGTAGAGCACTGAGCCTACTCTCACCCACCCAATGGGCCCTCTGTATGGAGAAACAGAGAATCAGTGAGCTGGCCAAGGCCTGACAGTGGCAGCGCTGGGATTAGAATTTCACAGGGGCTCACTCATTTGACAGAGCCTCGAGGCTCTGAGGAGAGCTTGCTTTGTCTCCCGCCGCCCCATCATGTCTGTACCAAACCCAGGGAGCCAGAGAAGGAGTTTGGGGAAAATTCTTCATTACACAGCAACAGACAACTCCTGCCATTTGATCCTGGACGTCAGCTCCCCACGCATGTCCTGTCTGTGCCGTTGCGGGCTCAGCCTCAGCCGGTGGTGCTTCTCCTCATTGGCACTTGGCCAGCGGAACCCCAGTGATGGTTAGAAAGTTCTCACCACACAATGCTGCACAGCTTGAGTTTACAATGGACTCTGCTCTCATGTCCCGACTTGTGAGCTGGACTGAAGTGCAGGGGGTGGTAGCAGGAGCAAAGCAACAGCTACATGCAGACAGCTGATGCCTCTTCAGGGGAATCCCTTTCCCTGGCTTCAAGAACATCCCAAGAAGAATGGGAGACCCTGTGCTGCAGCATGGTAAGAGGGCTCCTGAGAGGGGAAGCTGCTGCACTCCAGTCAGGGTGAAGGGGCATGGGAGCAACAGGTTGGTTAAAGGCTCCAGGGAGGGTGACAGGTGGCAGCAGCAGTGCCAGAGGCAATAATGGAACCTGTGTCCCTGACACATGCTTGGCTTGGCGCTGTCCCTGAGCCAGCAGCAGAGCTCCCAGGGACTGATTTATGTCCCTTCCTCACAGGCAGCGCTGGAGGGGACAGGCGTGCTGAGGGTGGGGGACCCTGAACCGACCTGCTGCTCCCCCAGAAGAGCAGGTGTGGATGGGGAAGGAGAGAAGCCATCCAGTTTGTGTCAGCCCTGCCATTAGATTTGACTAGCTCAATGGCTGATCCTCACCTGAGCCTCCAGTCGCTGAGCCTAACCCTTCTTGGCTGAGGCTCCAGGACAGGCACTGTCAGCAGCTCCTCCGCACTGCTGGATTCACACTGGCCTGCCCACTAGGGGAGGATGGGTCCTGGGAGCGGTTTTGGGGGTTGCTCCATTACAGCAGGCTCAGGGCAAAGCAGCTAGAGGCCTGAGAGCAGCAATGGCTCAGGTGGAGCTGCTGCTTCCCCCACATACTCTCACCAGGCCCTGCTCTTAATCAGGAAGTGAGAGTGAGTCCCGATTCACATCAATCAGTGTAAACAGCAGCTGCTGCTCAAGGGCATTGGGAGGAAATCCCCTCGAGCGGGGTGCAGCTCTGTTGGCAGAGCTGTGTGAGGAGACGGGTGTGACACACACAGGGCTATTTTGTGGCAGGTTACACAAATGGCAGCACAACAGCCAGAGACTGCTCAGTGCAAGGGGCCAGCAGAGGCCTGTAGGGTGCTGCACTCACCTGAGCTCACACTTGATCTGCACCCAGCCAGGGCTGCGCAGGAAGGACCAGGGATGGAACCATTTCTCCACTGTCTGCAGGCTCGAGCACAGCACTTCCAGCCACAGGTGCAGGACTTGCTCACTGTACGAAGGGAGGTGAGAGTCACTAGCAGCCAGGGCTCTTATCAGGGGGCTGGTGGCCTTTCCCTTTGGGACACCCAGCTTCCAATCCAGCCCTAGCCCCCAGGTCTCTTCCCCTATAGAAGCAAGGACGATAACAGGGAATTGCTCCCTTGGGTCAAGTGTAGCTGAAAATAAGACACTGGCTTCTGCCCAATGCTCTGCCCCTGCCAGCGCTGGTGGCCACTTAAGGGAGAACAGACTTTGGTGATCCAAGCTTGACCAAGCTGGCTCCAAGCACCCCACAATCTGCACCTGCCTCCCCACCTACTCCACACTGGCCCCTGCCCTGCACTTCAAGCCCAGCCTCCTACTCACTCCCATTTCCCAGCCCACCCCAAGCCCATCACTACAGCAATGCTCAAGAAAGGGGGCTGAATGACTCACTTGAGTCCAACGCAGATGAGGGAGCGAAGCTTCACATCCATCTGAGCGTGCGCAGCATCGTGCGTCATGTTCACGGACTGCACTGCCTGCTGGGCGGTGAGGACATGGTTACTACATTCCACGGGGGGCTCTCGTGGGAGAACTGCTACAGCTACACAGCCTAATGCATGTCTCCCCGCACTTTCTCTTTGCTCAGTGCCATCAGAGGAGCCGTGAATCCCCAACAGCCCAAGCACCCTTTACCCCACCGTGTGGGAGCTGCAAGGGCTAACAGCTCCTTCCTCACAGCACCACCTGCTGGGAGAGGCTCAGAGTGGTTCAACTGGCTGTGCAGACCAGGGGAAGGAGCAGGGATGGGTCTGGCCAGGGGATGCCAACCCTCCAGGATTGGCCTGTAGTCTCCAGGAATTAAAGATTCTGTCATGTGACAAATCTTCAGGAACCCGTCCAACCAAATTGGGCACCTCAGGCTCCTATGCGGGCAGGGCCAGTTACTCACCCGGTAAAGCAGCTCCTCTGGAGTCAGAACTTTTCCATCTTCATCCAGCCTAGAGAAGCAAAGCAGAGACTCAGCTTACCCCACAGAGCCACCTGCCAACTTAGGCAAGACGCTGCTCAACAGGCTCCACGAGACAGGAGCCACGGTGCTGGGAGAAATACAGAGCTCAGCAGCTGCTAATAGGAGACCAGGGCTGTGGGTTCCAATGCAGGCCATTGCTAGGGGCTGAGATACAGCCACAGCCATAATCCATGGGAACTAGGGCTTTCTAGAAACCAGGATCACCTGTCAGTCCCCCTGCAGTTGGTGCTAGCATGGCTCCACTAGCACTACCAGGTGTGCCTGCTCAGGAGAGGCAACATGTCATGGCCCAGAAGGGAAATGGGACCTTCCCAGACGGGAGAGAGGAGTGCAGACTTGACAGGGAGGACTTGGAGAGATTAAAAAGACTTGGACTTTTCAGCTTAGAAAAGAGAAGACTAAGGGGGATATGACAGAGCTCTACAAAATCATGACTGACGTGGAAAAAGTGAATAAGGAAAAGTTATTTACTTAATCTCACAATATAAGAACTAGGGATCACCAAATGAAATGGATAGGCAGCAGGTTTAAAACAAACAAAAGGATGGTGTTTTTCACTCGCTGCACAGTCAACCTGTGGAACTCCTTGCCAGATGATATGGTGAAGACTAGGACTTTAACAGGGTTCAAAAAACAGCTAGATTGATTCATGTAGGTTAGGTCCATCAATGGCTATTAGCCAGGATGGGTAGGAATGGTGTCCCTAGCCTCTGTTTCTCTGGAGGTGGGTGACAGGCGAGGGATCACGTGAGGATTACCTGTTGTGTTCCCTCCCTCTGGGGCATCTGACATTGACCACAGTCGGCAGACAGGATACTGGGCGGGATGGACTTTTGGTTTGACCCAGTATGGCCCTTCTTATGTTCTTATGACTTGGGGAAGAGGGATGCGAGCCTGTCAGTATGACTAGAGCAGCCTCACCTATAAGTCTTACAGAGTACAAGGCGGGAGTACACTGAGTCGAAGTCTCGTTCCACCTCCCGTCCGGCGGCCTGATGGGGAGAGGGGGCAGTCAGAGCTACAGGCTGTTAATAGTGCCCCAGCCCTCACATGCAGAACCTGCAGCAACAGCACCCCATCCCCACATAGATAGGACAGACCCAAAGGCCTGCCCCGGGGTAGCCAGCAGGGAAAAAGGCTGAAAGAAGGCTGTGTTCCTGTAGCCCTGTTGGGCCAGAGCCCCGCAATCCCTACACCCCGCTACCCAAAGCGCTACTCTCACCTCTTCGATAAACAGCCAGGGGTGGCAGGGTCCCCCCAGCAGGGATGGCTTCTTTAACCCATGCTCAAATATGGACTTCAGCGCTGGACAGAGTGTTCCTCGAACCAAATCCATCACCCCCTCTGTGACCGAGTCATCGCCAGCAATCGAGTACTGAGGAATGAAAGGAGTCAGCTCTTAGCCGTCTGAGAGGGAGAGAGCCCCCCAACAAGAGGCATGGGATGGGGACACATGGTCACATCGCTTCTCCAGACATAGCCCTTCTACCCAGACCCCCTCATCTCTCATCACCCACTCTAACTACTCGCCTATGCCACTCAGAGTTGACAGCCCCAGGGACTGGAAGCTGGTGCCTGAGCTCAGAACCTGCTTTGCTGGGATGTACCAATGTTCAGACTAGCAGGTCTTGGAGAGCGAGACTAGTTCTACCCAGAATTAGCTCTTGGCAGGGCCCGCTCCCCATGCCCTCACTGACCACTGCTGAGGGCTCTCTCTTTTGCAGAGCTAATTCCCTCCCCAGCAATACTCAGGGCAGCCCATCCACCTCTCTCCAGGCAGGGACTCTGAACTGAGGGAAGCTGTGCATCTGCCGGGCCCCTGAAAGGATGATTTTGAGTTTTACAACCAGGCCTCTGGGTCAGGAGATGTGGGACTTAATCCTGACTCTGCACAGGCTGCCTGGGTGACCTTGGGCAAGTTAATTCATTACTCTGTGCCTCAGGCTCCCATCTTTTATAGGGAAGAGGAAGTGACTTCCCTGCCTCACAGGGCCATCCCTGCATGTGTGTATCATTCCTTCACAGCTCTGAAACAACGGATTCTGGGGTAAGAGGGGCTACAGAAAAATTCAGACTTTGTAATATTTGCAGATGCCACTTCTTGGGCTCTTCTAGGGCCAGACTGTAGTTGTAGAGGCCAATGGCACTACACAAGACTCCCTTCCATCCCATCCTGTGACTCTCCAGCATCCCCTGCCAGTAGGTCAGAGGAATACTGGCATACAAACTGATAGCTAGCAGTGACAGTAGCAGAGAAGATGCACACAAGTTTTGTTAAGAAGGACAGGAGGGTTGCAAGGTGACCTACAAAATACAGGAATTTTTACCTCTTTACTCCGCTCATCCAAGACCTCCACAAATTTTGCAGGAAACCAACCTAGAAAGAGGAGAAAAAAGGTGAGCCTAAGACAGAGACATTGGGAGACCCCCACATGGACATGAATGAACACTGGCTGCAGGTCCTGGGGAAGGGAGGAGAAAAGTGGTGGGTTCCAGTGGCCCCTGGCAGGGTCTATGGGCCCACCCCAGAGAAGAAAAGCAGCAGCACTGGAGCCTCTGTGCATGTGTTGAGAAATCCAAATAGCTTACAAGCTGCTCAGACAGCACCAGCTCCCATGCTCCAGAGCAGCCTCCTGGAGCATCATCACCCTGACTGAACGTGCACTGGGGTCGCTGCCTCTGCAAGGACTAATGAGCATGCCTAGCAAGGAGTCACACCCTCCAGTCCACCTCCACACCCCTCTCTCCTGCTAGCTGTGCACTGGGATGGGATGTGTGTTCCCAGGCAGCTCCCCGAGTGGGGACCAGCAGAGCCTTTGGCTACAAGGACAGGGTTTCAGCAGAAGGCAAACCCACATGGCTTCCTGAGGGAGGGCAGAGATGCCAGAGCTATCGCTGAGGACAGCAGCATCTGTGGAATATTAGCAACTACACTCCCCATATCTAGTGGCCCCCATCCAGCATTCCCCATCAGTGCCCACCCCCATACACTGGCCTTGTCTGTTCTCACCCCTCAGTCCATTCAGCTCCCCCACCCAACAGTGCTCATCCTTCTGGGATATGATCTGAAAGAACAAAGAGGAGAGATGACGATTTACAAGAGGGACAAATACTGACTCACAAGGGGGCATAGTGGGGTTGGCACTAGCGCAGCATCGGGCTTTCTCTTTCTAGCTCCAGGCCTGCTGGAAGGCAGGATGCATTGCCATGGAAATCGTGTCACCTCTGAGCGAGTGAGGTGGAGTAAGGAACCACTTTCTTCTCAACCACCAGAGAGTGATGGGGAACTGAATGAAATTCAAGTCACTGACCAACTTTCATTACAGCTGCCCAGATATCAGTAACAGTTCCCATAGCCGGGTTCTTTGTGGGGACTGAACCTGGACCCCTGAATTTAAAAGCACAAGTCTCTACCATCTCAGTTATAGGACCACATCCACTGAATCAGGGGTTCTCAACCTTTTTCTTTCTGAGCCCACCCCCGCTATAAAAACTCCACAACTGTTTTGTTGCATATAAAGGCCAGGGCTGGTGTTAGGAGTTTTCAAAGAAGGCAGATGCCTGGGGCCCCAAACTGTAGAGAGCAACACAAAACTAAGTTGCTCTGGCTTGAGACCCAAATGGTGGAACTTTAGCTTTTTGCTTTGAGCCCTAGCAAGTTTAATGCCAGTCATGCTTGGCAGACCCCCTGAAACCTACTCTCGGCCCCCAGCCCAGGAGGCCCTGGACTCCTGGTTGAGAACTACTGCACTAGATCAGCAGCTGAAGCCATGGCTTTATGTGGTATAGCCACTAGATGGGGATAAAGGGCTGCTCTGGGTTAGCATGCGTGACCCAGGCACCCTGGGAACAAGGCAAAGGCATTCGGAAGGCTGGGAGGACAGAAGTTAAAGCAGCGGTCTCCAACCTTTTTGAACACAAGATCACTTTTTCAATGTAAGTGCAATGTAAGATCTACCTCAAACCCAAATACACTTGCCCCATTTCCTTCCCACCCCTTCTCCGAGGCCTCACCCTGGCTCACTCCATCCCTCTTCCTCCCCCATTCTCATGCACTTTCACCAGGCTGGGGTAAAGGGTTGGGGTGCAGGGTGGGGCACTGGGGTCCAGGAGGGCTTTCAGGGTGCAAGCTTTGGGAAGGACTTTGGGTGCAGGGGGACTCGCGTCCGGGGCAGGAGGTTGGGTGTAGGAGGAGGTTCAGGGCTGGGACAGGGATTCAGGAAGCAGGCTCTGGCTGGGCACCATTTAACTGAGACACCTTCTGGAGCAGTGCGATTAAGGCCGGCTTACTTCTGCCCTGGCTCTGCACCACTCCTGAAAGCAACTGGCATGTACAGCAATGGCTCCATGGCACCATGTGCTGCCCCCCATCTACAGGCAATGAACCCACAACTTCTACTGGCTGAGGTTCCCCATTATTGATCAATGGGAGCTGCAGGAGTGCTGTCTGCAGGCAAGGACAGCATGTGGCGACCCTCTGCTCTGCCTTTCTCAGGGGGCTCTGGTCTTGGGCCAAGGGGTTTGGCGTGTGGGAGGGGCTCCAGGCTTAGCCCAGAGTGGGGGCTTGGGATCCAGGCGGGTTTCAGAGTGCAAGCTTTGGAAGGAGTTTGGGTGCAGGGGGACTCACGTCTGGGGCAAAACGCTGGGTTCAGGGCTAGGACAAGGGTTCAGGATGCAGCATCTGGCTGGGCACCATTTAACTGAGACGGCTTCCGGATGGTGGAGCAGTGAGGTTAGGGCAGGCTTACTCCTGCCCTGGCCCTGCACCACTCCTGAAAGCAGCTGGCATGTGGCTCCATGGCACCATGTGCTGCCCCTCATCTACAGGCATGAAGCCCACAGCTTCTACAGGCCACAGCTCCCCATCACTGATCCCTGGGAGTTGCATTTTAGAACTCACAACTTAAATAATTAAATTTAAGCATAAGAGAAATTAAAATTATGAAATGCACAGGCCAGTCCAAAACCAAAACTAACACACTTTGCAGGCAGTAAAAAAAGTAACAACAGCCGCCCACATATGTGTTGGGTCAGGAGAGGAGTGAAGGACAGTTGGTGTTTGTGAGAATGAACAAACACACACACAATGTGAGAGTGTGACACATTTGAATTGCCAAGCCCTCTCTATCCCCTTCTGTGTGGAGATAGGGTACAGGACACCCTGACATCAGCGTCCCCCTCTACTCCCTCCCACAGCAAGCAGGGGGGCAACTCCAATGTAGAGGACAGGAGCAGCAGTGCAGTGGGTGGAGGGGCAACTGAAGTGCTGTGCTTGATAGCTTCCTGGCCAAACCAGTCAGGATCATCTGTCAGAGGCTCCAAGATCTACCAGTAGATCCCGATCTGCTGGTTGGTGACCACTGAGTTAAATGATGACCCTCTGCTGTGCCAATGTCGTCCTCCCCTTTGTTTCCCCAGTGGTGGTTCTATGGGCCTCCCATTCCACGGTGTAAAAAGCTGGTTCTTCCCACAATGCGGGTGCAGGGCAAGGCTGCCAACACAGCACACCCCACACCTGACAGCTATTCAGAGCAGCAAATTCTAGCACTGTGATAGACAGTGGGTTTTCCCTCCCTTCTTCCCTCGCCCACTCTGGGCCACAAGGAGGTAGAGCCAAGTTTTCCATGCTATTGGATGCACTGAGGTGATGGTTGGGCTGGCCCAGTGCCCTGTTGGCACAAAGCACTGAGCTAACCGTGATCAGAGTTCAAATCTTATCTGCTGTCACTCTTGGGGGAGTGGGGACTGACAGCTAGGGTGACCCACTAACCAGTTCCAGCAGAGAGGAGGCTCTAAGGGAGATGAAACACTCGCCCCACATGGTGGCTTGAAGTGGGTGCCTGTAACATGCACTCTCTGAATAGGAGCAGAAAGGCTGCGTCACACCAAGGGTTCCCCTCCCCAACCCTCATACTGTGATGATGTCATTCTTGCGGAAGCCCAACTCATCGTCGTCATGGCGCTCAAAGTCCAGCAGCGCTTTGGCTCGGCGCCGGCGGTTCTGGGAACATGCCACGTAGTTTTCATGGTCCCGCTGGTGGCTCTCCATGGTGTAATCTGGAGTCAAGTCCTGGGTTGGTGCAGCAGAGAAGCACAGAGGAGCAATGAGAGGGTGACTCACAGGTGATTAGATGTGTCAGGGTGCTCCCCCCAGGTCAGTACAGCTCTCCCCCTCTCCCCTGGCAGGCAGATTAGCTCTGCTAGCTCCAGGATCAAGCATGGCTCCCCTATTTCACCTGGGACAGGCCATGTGCCACACACAGATCCCACCCATGGCAGCTCTCCCTGCAAGTAGGGGTACCTGGCCATAGCCCTGAAGCATAAGGGACTCAAATTTAGCCATGTGCAGTGCACCCCCACTCACAATGCTGCAGTTCTTTGGATCCACGCACTGGAAGTGCCGTGCCACCTGCAGAATCGCCTCACGAAGGTCAGCTACCAGTTCTGTCTGCTTGATGTTCTTTGCCTTCAGTGCCTCTAAATCATCCTCACCTGGGAAGGAGGAATAGTCCAGGGTGAAGAGAAAGGAAAGACAAAATCCTGTGCTAGAATAAAAAGAAAGCTGTCCCCTCCCTCAGCCTGAGAAATGACAATTATAACTGCTCTTTCTGCCCAGATGGTAACCAGTGCTCAGGGCTCACCTGAACATCTGGCCCCGCACATGGCTCACAGGAAAGGGGGTGATATAACATGAGGGTGAGAAACAAAATACTGCATCCTGTCATACTAATGCCCAAGCACCTCTATGCTGAGCACACAGGGGACCACGATTGGGGCTAGACTCAGCCTCCTCCTTCCCCTTCCCCTTCCAATAAACAGGAGGCCAGTAGGAGCCACTAGAAAACAGACCATTGTCAGCTGACAGGGATGCTCATAAGCTGTATGAGCCCATCTGAAGAGGGCCAGCAGCTCAGCTCCTCCTTGCTGTCTATGTGCTTCCTGGGAAGGCACTTTCTTTGGCCCTCAGGGCCCTTCCATGACACACTCTGTATACTACTGCACAAAGGGTCTGGCCCTGCTCCCATCCAAGTCACTGTTAAAACTCCTGCTGACTCCAAGGGAGCAGGAGCAGGTTCTAAACAAGCCCTTGTTAACCATTTCCCTGCCTGTCTTAATGTGGGAACATGTGCACACCCCACCTACAGCCCTAGCGGCAGTGCAGGTAGCAATGCCTAGAACACAACCTTGTTTTCAGTTGCCTATAACTTTGCTAAACTTTACCCGTTTAATCAGGCTGAAATTTTCCACATGCCACGCATCTGCCTCAGGCTGAATTTTTGGGGGGGAATTTTTCAGCCATTTCTAAGAGCCCAGGAGAAAATACATTTTGTTCATATCAAAAAAATTCATATGTCAATTTTGTTGAGAAGCTGGGTCACCCTCCCCACTTTGGAGCAGGGATTTGAAATTTGGCAAGGGGCTGCCCTTGTGACAGGGATGTTTCTTGCTATCCCTATGAAAATGTACTCAATTTGGCTAAGTAATGACTCCCTGAAAGTCTCAGTTCACACGCACACAGCTGAGACATGTTAGAACTTGTTAGCTAAATTCTCCAGAGAATCTCTCTACTTTGCACTCCTACTCCTGGGATGCTAGAACTAAACAGGACTCCTAGCTGCTGGTGGCCACTGTGGCTCCAATCACAGGGAGCTTGTCTGTTGTGTGTTCTCAATGCTCCCCCTGGTGGCATCCAGACCGCAAAGGGAAGGCTGCAGACTGACTAGAGCACAAAGGAAAGAGGAGCTGGACTTGAGGGTGATGGGACAGGTATTAGGAACTGGGGGTGGGGAAGGGAACTGTGATTGGGGAAGACGGGCCTGTAGTCACTAGATTTCACTCATGTCAGAACGTGGACTAGAATCCAGGAGGCCCAAGTCTCAACATTTCTCTGATGTGAGAAAACAGCTGTGAAAGCCACTGGAAAAATATGCACCTAGTACACCCTTCATGCTGCCTCAAACAGAGGATAACAGCCTACTACAGCTATCAGGTACTGTTAGCTCAGGTGACTGAAGTCTGTCTGGTGCACCAAAAGATTCTAACACTGCTGAAGAATCATGTGGGTGCAAATACGATTCCCTGAGAACACATTTCTGGTTTGTCAGTTTGCTTTAAAAAAATCCCCACAAAACCAGAAAATTACATTACAAGAGAGCTATGTTGCGAAATCAAGCACTCAAGATAGGAAATGCCAGAATTAAGGTTACCTGTGCAACTGTAATTTGCCCTCCCCCCCATGCACATACATCATGATACAGTTTTTAATCTCATGATCATTACTCTTATTTCCACAAGATCATCACTCTATTCAGTGCATTGAATAGACACAGTGCTCTGGAAATTCATCTGGGCTGTGCACTGAATGGATGCTGCTATCCTTAGTTTCCTGCCTCATTTGTTGAGATCACTGTGCACAGTGAAAGAGGTGAGGAACTGCAGGGAAAAGACTTGAGAGCTAGGCAATTTAAATGCTGCTCTAGGGAACTGAATTCTTCCCTTGCCTGTAACGCAGAATTCCTATGTGATACAGAACAAGTCATTCAGGGTGGGATCCATGAAGGGACTTGGGCATTACATTGCTAAGTGTCACAGCATTTAACTTACATGCTACAGAATCACAGGAACAGCACTTGATACTCGCCAAGCCAAGACAGGGGCCTGGGCTCCAGACACAATGAATTGAGACAGATGGGCTCTGATGAATGTGATCCACACAAATGAGCACGCTAAATGGGAAGCCACTCAAGCTAGCCAGTGGGAGATGCCAAAGGAAAGGTGCATGTGAACACACTGAGGAGGCAGCAATGCCTAAACTCAGCAGCCAGTGAGAGAGAGAATGTAGTTCAGTGCTTTCCCTGCGAGATGGGAGGCCGAGGGGACAGTTTTCCTGCACCAGCCACTCTTTCATTAGTTTTCCAAACTGAAACAATTTCAACAGGAGAGACAGAGGGAGCCCACATCAGATTGCCCTCTAAGTGGTGAAAGGGCTCTCCTGAGAAATAGGATTTGAACAGGTGCCTCCTTTCACCTGCTCTGGCAGGGAGGGAGAATTTGAACTTGGATCTCCTGCCTCCCAGGCAAGTGCTCTAACCACTGCACTGTAAGTTACAAGGTGAGCACTGGCAGCACCATCACCACGCTCCCCCCTTATTTTGAATAGGACCTGATCTGGTAAGGTGGCTTCTGAGCATGCCTACTGGATGTGGCCTGGTACGTAATTTAGGTGGCTGAACGTCTATCCTCCCAGTTCACAAATCGCTCTGCCGCCGAGGCATGAGATAGGCATCCAGATGCTTGACAGGAGACAGCAGCGCACGTGCCCAGATAAAGGAACATAGGCTCCAAGGGAACTTTTACTCTGAAAATGCAGGAGCTGAGTTTGCGCACCCATGAGATGCAGCAGGAGTTTTGCGCATTGAGTTGAGCCAGAACTGGAACCTACGTGCCTTTGTGTAACCCATCCTTAATAATTTTCATTAGCTGTGTGTTCCTCCTTTTCTGGGTGCCTCACCTGAGACACTTGGCCTGAGCTGCAGTAGTGCTAAGTGCTCACAACTGCACCTGGAGTCAGTAGGAGCTGAGCACTCTGAAGACACAGACTATTGTACATCTCAAAGTGGGCTCCCAGTTAGTGGATAGTTTTGGCATTAATGTCTTTGTGCCTGAGTTCTCCGTCTGTAAAAGGAGAACACTGACTCCTCTCACAGGGGTACTGTGGAGATAAATTCATTAGAGCACTCAGATACTTAAGTGATCAATGCCAGAGAGAAGCCCATAAGTAAATTAATACCTGTCTTCAGAGCAGGGTTTAAATAGCGTACAGAAAATAAGGTCTGGGATCACACACTAACCAAAGAGGAGAAAACAAAATATAGCAAAAGCTTTGTTATCTGCCATACTGGGACGGAGGGGCTGTTTAGTCAAATATTCTGGTTAACTAAGAGATAATTGGAAGAAGTGTGAGAGGGAGTGTGGAAATAAGGAGTGCAGGAGCAGTCTCTGGGTTGGGGCACAGGATGGCTTTTAGGGTACCGCATCCAGGCGGTGCTCACCTCGGGAAGCTCCCCGCAAGCGGGGATATGTCTCTGCTGCTCCTACATGGAGGCACATCTAGGTGACTCTGTGGTTCCCAGCCAGAGGGAGCTGTGGAGCCAGTGCTTGGGGCATGAGCAGTGCACAGAGCCCCCATGTCTGTTCCTCTGCCTAGGAGCACTGGGATATCACTGTGCACAAGGGGGCCTGATTTAAGTTGCACACGTAATATTCTTTCTAGCATTTCCTAACCATTCAGTGCTTAACTTTGCAATCTTAACATCCTTCACTGTAATTTTTTTAATGCAATATTAGTTTCCCATTAACCTCACCGAAAATGTTCAAGGCCAATAAAATGTTCAAGGCCAATACAACCAGAGTTCAGAGATTCTCAGCCAAGTCATTTTGGAGACATGATGAGCCAAGAGAAAAAATGGAAACTTTCAAGAAATTAACAAAAGGGGAAATACACTTTGGCCCTACAAACGCCATGCCTAGTTTTTCCCTAACTTCCGAGACAAAGAAAATCTGTCCCGGTATAAAATATGGTACTTTCTGGTGGATCTATTTCTTATGAGGGAAGTCAATTTCTGCTGCCCTAGAAGATATGTATTTTTAAGTTCATACATTATGCAATGGTTTTCTTAATGGTACATTAAGGAAGTGTTCAGAGCAGAAAAAAGGAGGGACTTTGGACACATCTGTCCTAAATGTATTCATATTGGGGCAGGGTGTGATTTGATTTGCAGAAAGAAGGTTAAGGGCTAAAGAGCAAAGCATGCTCCTTCCTGAGGCAATCGAGAAAGGTCTGCTTCTTCCTTCAGCTTTTGGGAGTGAACACTCAGAAAGTTTAAACTCTTTTCCTCCCCTCCCGTTAATCTCTTTTCTTGCTTTGCCTCCTCTTGTTGCCAAAGGAATGTTCACCTGTTCCTCTTCTCCAGGCCCAACCATTCCTCTGCCAGTAGATTATTTTACACACACACCCCTGACAGCACTATTACAACATGCAAGACATTTGTTTGTCCTCACCGAAAAGCAGCGAGGTGATGCCAGATTTCCTGCGCTGTGTCCTGCGCCGCACAATCTGAAGGGGGAGGAAGAGTGAGACATAGTGGACTCATAAGGAGACATTAGAAGAACTAAACGTGTTTACATCGATGGACAGGATCTAGAGTAGGGCAGGGGGAGACAGCAACCATCAGCAAATTTACGAGGGGTGTACACAGCAAGAAGACAGGGGAACTGTTTGGAGTGGTCCCAAACAGAAGAGACAGTGACCAAACCCCTTGGAGCAAGAGGACCCACATGATTCATTTCTGACAGTAGGCTCTATCACACCACCAGGGACACTCAGGACAGGACTGGACAAAGAACAAGAACAGCCATGTGCTGGCTGATGAAGGGGCGAACAGGAAATGACCCACTAGAGCTACTGCATCAGAACATTCATTCATTCTACATAGAGAGCTAAAGGCAGGATTTAGTGCTTATCCAATTGCCGAGATCCCTATCACATGGGCTCATTCTGCCAGGCGTGGGAGGTTTGTTGGCATGGCCTCCTGGCAGTGAGAACAGTAGAAGCTGATCACATTCCCAGCACAGTCCTAGCACTCACTCCTCTCTAGGTTGGTGAGAGAAGGGAAGTTTACCATGGAGCCAAAGCCCACTAGGGCAGGGTGGCCCATGCTAACAGATAGGGATAGATTGCCAACTAGCCAGAAGGCAAGGTCATGAAGGGGATCAGCAGTCCCTACCAGCCAGATAGGCAGGGCTCCATGCACCAACCTTGGATAGATTATTGACCGCAGTACTGGAGTTGAGCAGCTGCCCTTGGTCAGCAATGAGGTAAGCCAGGTGCTTACGGCGCTGGGTCTCCACCGCCATATCTGTCAGTGAGCCAGCAATGCGCATAGCCTCTCGCAGCAGCACCTCTGCATCCTCAATCTGAGACGGGATGTCCGAGAGAGTGTTGAAGATGGAGGCAGAGTTCTCTGACTGGATTAGCTCATCTTCCTGTGGGAAAGGGGAGAAACCATGCACACACAATACACTGAGTATGTCAGAGATACTAGAACTGATAAAGCCCCACTCACACCTCAGAGCACAGTCTGATCATGAAATTTAACCCAGGAGCAACTAAATTCTCTAAGAAAAAGTCCAAGCTGTGTGGTCAGTAGACAGAAGAAGTTAGCTTGTGCGGTAACGGTGGTTCTTCGAGATGCGTCCCTGTGGGTGCTGGTGTGTCCTCGCGCCGGCAACTGGAGACTTTTCTAGCCATTTCTGCCGCGCCGCGCAGGCGCCGGCACCGTGGCTCCCTCTAATGTTGTTGGAATTGAAGGGCGCCTGCGTGCGCGGCTCCTCCATTCCTTCTCTACCCGCCAGAGTATAAGGCTTCAAGTAGGGGAAGGAGGGAGGGTAATGGAGCACCCACGGGGACACATCTCGAAGAACCACCATTACTGCACAAGGTGAGTAACTTCTTCTCCTTCGAGTGGTCCCTGTGGGTGCTCCACTGTGGGTGACTACACAGCAGTTGTTGGCTCGTGGAGGTGGGTTTGGAGCCGTGTAGTAGTAACTGTGGTTAACACAGCCTGTCCCACTGCCATAGAGGATGCTATGGAGGCGGAAAGAGCGTAATGTTGCGGAAAGGAGTGGTCAGATGACCAGGTAGCAGTGTTGCAAATGTCTTGCAGTGGAACGTTACGAAGGAAGGCAGTCGTGGCAGCTACCGCCCTGGTGGAATGAGCTGTGATAGTTCCAGGTAAGTGCTTGCCATATAGAGTGTAACAAGTTCGAATGCAGGATGTAATCCATTTAGAAATTCTTTGAGATGAGACTGCTTTCCCCTTAGATCTTTCAGCATAAGAGATAAAGAGTCTAGGTGAGGCTCGCCACGGCTTCGTGCGATCAACGTAGAACGCCAGAGCTCGTCGGACGTCAAGAGTGTGCCATGCAGTCCGGATTGGGTCAGCGTGAGGCTTCGGAAAGAAGGCAGGTAAGTGTATGGGTTCATTCACATAGAAGGGGGAGGGTACTTTAGGGAGGAATTTAGGGCGGGGGTCAGAGTATCACCCTGTCCTTTGTAAATACAATGTATGGAGGGTCGGCCATCAAGGCCGCAAGCTCACTCACCCTCCTGCTAGAGGTAATGGCGACGAGGAAGGCTACTTTCATAGACAAAAGACCAGGAGCAAGTGGCTATAGGTTCGAATGGCGGTTTTGTCAGGCTCTTTAGAACGTGGTTTAAGTCCCAAATGGGGACTGGTGGACAGACAGGAGGAAAGGTATTCTGCAGTCCCTTAAAGAAGCGTTTAGCCAGTGGGTCAGCGAGAAAAGAAGCGCCATCCATGAAATAGTGAAAGGCCGCTATGGTGGCAGCGTGGACCTTGATACTGCTAAGTCAGTGGTCTCCAACCTTTTTACACCCAAGATCACTTTTTAAATCTCAGAACAGGCGAAGATCTACTGTCCCGCCCCTTCCTTGAAGCCCCGCCCTCTCTATTCTCCTCCTGTCCATCATTTGCTATTCCCAGCCCTTACTTACACACTCTGATAAACAGTTTATTTTTAAATTATGCGATGTATAAAATTAAAATCACGTTTACAGTTATGAAATAAATGGTCTGTTTTTTATTCATGCTATTTAAATCTAAAATGAAGCATTTATAATTATACATTTTGTGGGGACAGAGTTCTGTGGCTGGGGGCAGGGGAGAGGGAACAGGGTGCTGGGAGGGCAGAGGGCAGAGTTCTGCAGCAAGGGACAGAGTGCCAGTGGGGACAGAATTCAGGGAGTGGGGCCAGGGAAGTGGGGACAGCGTTCTGTGGCTGGGGAGTGGGGTGCCAGTGGAGGCAGAGAGTCCCCTGTATCTGCCTCCTCCCAGGATTCCCCCACCCCCAGAGGGAAACCAGCGCGTGCCTGCCCTGGGGCCGACCCACCCGCGGCGCAGGGAAGCCCCGCGCGCGCACGCCTT